CAAAGATTGGTATTGAGCATAACATGCTAAACTGGATAAAAGCATTCATTGGACAAAGATCATGTAAAGTCAGATACGGAAATGCTCTACCAAAATCCAATCTTTTACAAACAGGTCTTCCACAGGGACCTGTCACAAGCTGCACTCTTTTCAATGTCTTCATCAATGACATAGCCGAATCGGTACAGGCAGTCACGGGCATCAAGTGCTCACTTTATGCAGATGATCTTGTTCTATGGTATTCCGCCCCTAAGAAAAACGCTCAGGTGAGGACGGAAAGTGCCTTAAATTGTGCACTTAAACTACTAGCAAACTGGTGGGACAACAATGGAATGGTAATCAACACCGCAAAAACTGCATTCCAAACATTTTCTTTGGCCCGTCACAGCATAAACCCACTTCTAAGGTACAAGGATACTACCCTAGAAAGAACCAATGAGTTCACATATTTCGGAATGACTCTTGACACAAAGCTAACGTGGAAAAGTCACATTGCTAAAATAGCAGAACGAGTCTCCAATAGACTGAATGTACTGAAGCGTCTTGCTGGTAGTGTATGGGGCTGTACACGCTCAACTCTCAACACCACTTACAAGATGTTTATTCAGCCAATAATGTTGTATTGCTGTGAGCCACTCATTACAGCCACAGAGGTGACTCTCAAACCACTTGAGAAGGCTCAAAAACTTATGCCTCCACATCGATATAATCTATCACAAAATATGTTTTACAATATACAAACGAAGTTTATAGAACCAAAATTCCAGATACACTTGCCAAATGTAAGGAAAACATGAGAAAAGTTCGTTCAACTCCAGCACCCAACCTCCTTCTAATAATAGAAAATACTATAAAAGGAATCAATTATCAGGCATTTAAAGGAGGTAAATCAAGATCGGATATACTACCCAATAGAAGTGACAAATAGTTAAATAGCCACCTATTAAAATAGGCATCAAAAAGAAGAAAATAATTATTATATTATGACTAGTAACTAAAAAAATCATGACAATCTAATAGAGTAAATTTATGATATGGATCTAAAAATGTTGATCGAATTATTAAACTAGATCTTAAGTATTTTAAACCAACTCATATACCTAATGATGTATCAAATATGCCTGCACACTTATGATCTAATGTTAAAATTCAAGAATAAATGCTAGAAGTGTTCATTAATATAAGATGATCTAACAATCTCTAAATGCTCTGAAAATATTCAATCAAAATAAATTTATTCTTATTTACTTAAACTAACTAACTTATATGGGCTTTCCAGTTTAAAGGGAAAATTTCATATCGTGAAACTCTTTTGGAACCAAATGACCACAGAAGCTTTTTCGGATGGGCAAACTTTCGAAAAATTCCTGTATTAGCATTAGTGTCATAAATTTCTTCAACTTTATGAGCTCAACGAACATAGCCCCTTAATAACTGTAATAGAAATCTCACAACTAAGAAAGAGTTCATATTTAACAACCCTTGCTCAGGTATATTTAAAATTATAAAACAAAAAAACTAGCAAAAAAAAATAAGTAAATCTTGAGCATTCAAACCTTAAGGAACTAGGTCAAAACCCACACTTATATGCCCTAGATCATGATAATCTTAATATACTTCTCCATTTAAATAAACTTCCAGTAAAAATAAATCACTGTAAATAAACACGGAAAAATAATATAATCTAAGTAAACTTACAATCAAAATTCATAAAAACCCAACCCTTAAATTTAGATACTACTACTTACTAAATCAAAGTAACTTGTTAAAGCAGCCCTATTGGCCAAACTTCACATTTTACAGAGACCAATGACTCCCAAAGTCATAATTCTTTTGCAGTTAACAACACCATGATATGGACTATAATCCATGTAGGAACATTATTAGTATTATTATTAGTTATGGGTAAAAGTAATCATAACGTAAAGTTGTCCGAGCTCACATTAAAAGCGCAAACAACCAAATTAGGAAAATTTACAAATAACAATGCATTTGCAAGCAGAAATACTTCATTATGCTCCTTATTTAATTTTACGTTCAAAAAGCTAAAATAAAAAAAACTCGATAAAAAACAATAAACCAGATATGAAACCAAAATCCTTATTAGTAACAACTAGAAAGACAAACTATGTTTCCTTTTAAGCTAAAATTGCAATATGTGTACAAAACAAAAAATTACAAATTAAAATACGCGAGAATTATAGCTCAATATATTAATAAAAGAACAATTTCCACAGAAACCTGTAGAGGACTGCTACACTAGTAAAGCCTGACTGACTCAGAAATCTCTTTGGTAGATTCTCCTACATCTACCTAGACTCCCGGAAACAGCTAAGTTATAGCCCAACTATGGAGGAGGCAGGCGTGAGTATAGTGTGCACTCAGGTACCTTAATCATAATCAGCATGGCGGGTTAGTTTAAACAAACAGGCTTCTGATTGGCCACTGGTTGGACGGTTGGCTGCACAGAGAGTTGTACGGCCGCACCTCCCGACCCTGGCGTGCATGCATGAGAAGTCGCGTTAAGCGGTGACATGTCCCACAAACCTAAGTAGAAATTGATAATATAGAACTCGAACATTTTCCAACTCGAGCTTGTGTAACTAACGCAACATTTATTTCGGCAGTTGAAAGAATAATTAGTACGATAAAAACATTTGTGTATAATGCAGGCCGCATAATAAACACAATGCTAGCAGAAATACATAGAAATTTCCAATACAATTTAAAAACCGACGTATGGATGGAAAGAATCTTATTAAAATCTCTATAAACAAAATAAAAAATATTTTGCATTTAACGAATGTAGTAAAGCAATCAAAATGACTTCAATAAAAACATTAAAATTTCCATTTATTGCCTAAACACCTGACATACAAATAAATATAAATATTCATGATTTAAACCTCCCAAACAAGCCAAAGAACAGTATACACTGACCCTATTCATAAAATACTAATTGACGAATTACAATGTAACTGCTGGAATTGTTAAAAGTTGGCACTCGTAAAAATAAAAAAGAAGCTCTTAAGGATAATCCACCCATCTTAGAGTTAATTCCACGTAAAATAGCAGAGGTGGTTGAAAAGTATCACTCAAGCTTTATAGGGAATGGCGTATTCATTGAGTCTGTCCTTTATACATGCTTCAATATTAAATGATGCATCCGGACTACTAAATGATATCATAAATACTAGAAATAAAAATGTGAAGCTCTTAAAATCCTTTATTCTAAAATAGGAAAGAAGTCAGAGAAAGAAGAATTAGAAAAGAGAGGTTGATTGCTACTACTCTTAGATAAACAAAAAAGGAGTAAAATTGTGAAGCCTGATATTAAAAATCTCAATCAGATATGAACGGATAATATAAAATAAATCTTTGATAAATTCATTACCAAAGAAAATCAGAGTCAATAATATCACACCAGTTAAAATTTGTATAACCATAAATATAAAAATCATGAAACATCTACATCAATAATAATTTAAAGATTAATTTACAGGAAGATCAAGTAGTTTGAAACGAAAACCGGTAGTAGTCAATAAAATTACAATTCGTTAACTTAAATAACCTATTAGTAATAAACGAAAATATACGAAGATTATGCAAATTATAACACATAATAGGCAAAGTGTCTATATCAAACAATTCTTGAACTTTAAAAAGAACCAGCAAAAGATTGACCAAATATTTGCCAACCCTAATTCAATCATCCTCACTTACCTCAAGTGAGCACTACTCATAGCATGTATTGCACCACTTCCCACAAATCCATCCATGCCAATTTCAACTCCAACTTCCCCTCCACTTCACTAAATTCTCCGATTCCTCCTCGTCATTTTAAGACAAAACTCATCAGTCATAAATAAAATACACCTCCACATAGTGGATTAATAAAGGCAGAACTAAATAATAAAAGAAAAAAAATATTGAACTAAAAATTCTAGATACCTAAGAAAATTAAAAATGTGAGGATAAAACCACATTCTAAATACATTCTAATGAGGGTAAATTAAGAACTAATAAACCGCCCCAATTACGAACGAAAATTAAAAATAAGATTCTAACACCTCAAATAGCGTATACACTGTGTAACATAAATCGTTGGATAAATTTATTATTAAATCTAACTAAACTGAATACATAAAATTAATAAAAATACTCCTAATAAGGCTATAAGATTACGCCTTTGGAAACTATAATACTTGCCCTCAAAACTTAACCTATTTATATCAGAAAAGCTAACTTTTCAGTATATGTACAAAACAACCAAGAAGTATAAACAACCCATCCTTTAGACGCAAACTGTACTACCTCATTTAACAAAAACCATATCTGAGCCCAACTGTGAGTATAACAAATATTTTAATTAAACTACATTACAATTGTACCAATTAACTAATGCAATAGTCACTACACAACTCCGAAAATCTACACCAAAATTCAACTTTCAATATAAAAAAATAATACAAACGTAAAGGAGTAACTTAAAGTAAATAAACAATACACTTAAAATTCGACAATGTGTCCATTTTAATCACAAACTCTAGTGTGTGAGGCTATCGGAACATATTGCAAAGTGTGTCAAAACGTCCTCCATGCGATGATATAATGGTTTACCACCCATCCTTGGATCAACTACTGATAAATAAAAGTAATATCCCAAATAGAAGTCAGCATTTGGCAAAAATCAACCCAAGTTTTAAATTGTGCACTTATTATTCACATCGGTAAAACCTAATCAAAAGAGTACATAAACATTTATGTAAGTTAGAGCAGAGTACAAGGTAATTATGGAGAGCAGCTTCCAAACCGAATGAAGACAAATGCGTGCTTCGTCGATATGGAGGTGACGAAGGGGAAGTGGTGGAGGTAAATTCTGAGCTAAAACCTCATCAGCTTCCCGTTTTAAGTTGATATTTCTACCCAGGACCTCGTGGAAGGATGGGATAGATTTTTTCCTGGGCACCACAGGATGGGATTTCTCCCACCTACTGACGTGTTTGCTCACCTGTCTGCCTTCCTACTCATTTTTCGTGCACTTTGGCGACTGGAACGTCCTCGAATCCACGTAAGCGACAGGAAGCAAAGAAAAGAAAAAAAAGGACGGAAAGGAAGTTGAAATAAGAGGTAATGGTGATCAACTCGACAGCTAACCAAGAGGGGTTTTAACCTCGCATTGAGATGTGTTCATTTGGATATGAACATTGAATAACTAACCAATTCGATGCTACGTAAGCAACATGATGAGCTAATCATTTCCAAACAATTAATTTATTGGTTATTCCAAATTACTCGGTTGGGCAAACTTCCGAGAAATTTCAATTTTGAAAAAAATGTACTGGTATTCTATTTCGAAATTGACATGAGAGGAATTTGTTAAATTGGTGGCAGAATTATTTCAAATAAACAAAAAGTAATTATTTTGAGTCCTGGGATTTTTGTTTCTTAAGATTTGTTATTTCGGCAATCTGATAATTTATTTATTTATTTCAAATGGCAGGCTTTATGATATTTATCATTAGCCCTTAAACTTTGACTTCAGCTTCCCCCAAGGGTGGGGGGTACATTTATAGCAGTTAATTAATAGCAATTCATTAGCTGTCTTCTTGCTTCCCAGTATCTCTGGCTTTCCGTCGTTGCCTTTAGGGCTGGACACCGAATCAGGTGGGTCTTCTCCATTTCCTCCTGTAGGTTACATAGGGGGCATGTGGGTTGAGTGTATACTCCCAATCTGTGAAGGTGTTTTGTCAAGCAATCGTGTCCGGTACATAGTCTAAACTCAGCAACGGCTTCGATTCTTGGCCAGTCGGCTATATCGGAGAGAGCCACTGTCCACTGTTTCTCCTTTGTTCGAGCTTTAAGTTCGTTGCACCATGAGGTATGGAATTCTCATCTGATTAAGGCCTTCATTGCGTGGAAAGACATCGACCGGTCCATGCATTGCAAACTCGTTGTCCCCTTCTTAGCAAGTGCATCAGCAAGCTCATTGCCTTTAATGCCACAGTGATCAGGAATCCATTGTAGGACCACTGTTTTGTTTTTCTCTCTCAGCAGCTCATAGAGTTTTCTACATTCCTTTATCTCAGCTGTTTTGGGTGGCTCTCTGTTTCCAATTGAGTTTATTGCTGATTGTGAGACCAAAAGTATCACCGCTTTGGTGAATTTCGTATCCAGGCAACATAATTAGCATAGTGCTATCCTAATGGCCTCTATTTCTCCTTCAAAAGCGGATCTATTGTGTCCCGCTGTTGCGTAGAAGGAGAAGAGTTCAGAAAAGACACCTGCACCAATGTTTGCTTGGTTTTCTATGTGTGACCCATCAGTGAAGACTTGGAGCCATTGATCTGCAGGATAGTTGACATTGATTGTCTCAAGGGCTAGTGAGCGCATTTGCTCTGGAGGGGTGTTTGTTTTTCTGAAGAAGTCGAGCAGTTGGGTGCAACACACTACATCAGTGTCTGCTAATGGGTTCATGGGGGGAGAGAGGCTTTTTGGTTTGTCATCGATTTGTAATTCTTTCTTCAGTTCTCTGGCTTTCTGTATTAGACCAGATTGCGTTTTCAGGCGTCTTGGTCTATTCTCATAGGTGCTAAAGACCTTATCCATGGGAATGCGCANAATGACTGGTTTGTGACCAGAACCAGGATGGTCAAATATCTTGCCGCGTTTATGCTCGCTGATGTCATTTGAAGCCAAGAGTAAGTCAGGAGTTGTTCTGGTTCCATTGTAGTGCAAATATGTAGCCGGATCCTCATTGCTGTAAATAAGTTCCAGAGGGTTGCTGTTTAGCATGTATTCAATTTCCTTTCCAGCTACGTTTGTATCCTTGTAGTCCCATCTGGTGGAATGGACGTTGAAGTCTCCTTATACTACAGTTTTGTGTGAGATGTTCAGAAAGCCAAAGTTGGGACAATTCTGGGGTGGATTATAGACTGCATATATCTTGAAGTGGTTTTGACATTTCCAAACATTTAATCTGATTATTTCACATATGTCTTGTGTCGAGCCCATACTCTTGATTAGATCGTAGTGTGAGGTGAGGCCTTCTTTTACTCCAGTTAGAATTCCACTTGCAACTTGCCGGTATTTGGGTAGAAGGTACAGGGTGTAATCTGGGAATTGATAGTACTTCAGTTTGTCATCCGAAATGTTTGCTTCCATAATTGCGAAAATGTCTACATCATAGGTTTGTAGGATTTTCTGTACTGGGATCTTTTTGTCCTGTGACATTCCTCCAGCATTATACTGGAGGATCTGAAGGCGTTGTGATTCGCCCTGACTAGGGCGATTTTTCTTATAGCCCTTTTTCAAGCTAATCATAATAAATCGAAGTCAAATAGAATGCCGAGTGATAGACTTTTTTGCCGTACGAAGATACGTTGTCCAGGGTGCATCACGTGGAGGTAAGTCTATCGCGCACCCCGCAATCTGATTATCGATTTTCAGAATTGATAATTTACACACTGTCACCACCTCGTCCAGTTCCTTCACTAACCACTTACCGTTCATCACTCGCATGGCAAGGACTGCTTGGCATTTTCAGCTATTGCGATATGAAGCTCAGTCTGGGAAACCACATGTCCAAATTTCACTAAGGAATGTGTTACCTTTTATCCATGTTTATTTTTATATCGTTTTGATGCTGATTTCTTTCGCTTTAGGTCACTTTGGAAAAGAACGTCACGGCAATATTAATTAAGTGCAGAAGTAAATACCCAGAACCAGATTACAAATTTTGAATTTTCCGTATTTCTCTTCGTACCAATTCTTTGCAATATCTAGATAAATAAATGGCTAGTATCTTCTCTGGCGTGTAACTATTTTGAGTGGTCATTTGTTATTGTTTAATATTAGGTAAAATTGATTAATTAATTAATTAAAGGGGCTTCACTCTGTTGTGTATCCCCCTTTGGTCCTTACAATGACTTAATCTTTCGCCATTTTGAGGACCACGAGGGAAGAGAGCGAATACATTTGCAGACAAGTAGTTACCCTGAAGAATCAGTGCGATGTGTTGGCTCTGGTGGATACCGTGAGTGCAGCGGAAGTCATATATGGAGGACATTGTGTGGGTTAGGTGGAGTTTTCTGTAGATGGTTCAACTCAGAATGAAGGCATGGTTATGTAGGACACGTTATCCCTTAGTGCGTCATCGCATGCCTGCACTCCAGGATTAGGAGGTGCGGCCGTACAAACAGTAGCCAATCAGTAGCCTCCGTTTGTTTAACCTAATCCGCCATCCTGATCATGATTACGCTCCCTGCGTGTACACTTTGGTTACAAGATACTAAGTAGACGAATTCCGTGCTGTACGTCGGTTTCCTTCATAGTTGGGCTATAGCTTAGCTTGTTCTGAGAGCCTAGCTAGATGCTGGAGAGTCTGCCACAAAGATTTCCGAGTCAGTCAGGCTTTATTAAAGTAGCAGTCAGCTACAAATTGGTGACCCTGACGTGATTGCCAAATCATGACTTCAATCGCGCAGCAGAGAAACAATCTCTCACTTTCATCGGAATTTCCTCTCCAAATTCCTCAATTCCCTCGGTGATCTCTTCCTGCTCAAATGATCACAATCACCTTACCTCCGTTGCCGTTACCCACAACAAGTCAGATCCTGACTTCCGCTCAACAGAGACTCGATCTCTCCTCGGTGACGCGATTGTTCTTCACATCGCTCTCCTCATCTGATGGTTCCTTCCACGAACGATCAGCACCTCAACGGCATCCCAACTCTCTCCTTTCACTGGCTATGTCTCCCTCAGAACGCCCTTGGAAACAGGCAACAGCCGGAACACGTTGCGTTGAGAATACCCATCTCTACGAGACTTAAGAACCTCGTCCTTCCACCCAATGGAAAGTAACAGCCGGAGCACGTTACTCTTCGAAAGCCTACCCTTATGTTCGATGATATTAACATATGGTGTCGTCGTGCACTGATGGACTCCGACGCCCTCTAGGTGAAACAGGACATGTACTTTTATCATGCCATAATGTGGTAAGTAAGCGTGGTCTAGATAGGCACATTTAGTTAGTTAGTGCAAGTAGCTATTACTAAGAAATTAATGGGAAGATAAAAAAAGGACTTAGAAGTAAGGAATACTAATAGTGAGAGGTAGTCAGTGTCTCCACCCAGATCGATATCGATCATTGGCTAGGAGTCTGATCTAAACACTGGCTACACTTTGTTCTCAGCTCGGCTTCCCCATTGGTCCACTCTGCATCAGGTGTGTGCTGACTGCACACACTTGTGGTTTATGAAAATAATGCCTCAAATGAGAAGCAAAATTGAAATATTCTAAAAAGAGCTGCTGAAAAATTGTTACTGAGCTCGCAATCTTAGTAGTTGTCAATACGATTGCTAATTAAATCCCAATTTTGTTGCCTATAAAATTGAGGAGGTAGCCCCCAACTTTCAAGATCTCAAGAACGTGTCAATTTGTCTAAATGAGCTTATATTCTGCTAGGATTTGTAGATGTATCGTGAAGTAAGTGCTCTCACTAACTCACATGAGTTGGGAGCTGTCATTACAAATCTCAAGCTTTAAGTCTTTGAAGCAGGACTGATGTGTTTATGTCCCTATGACTCAAGACATATCTACCATGTCTAGACAGATTTGTCGGTTTTCTTTTTTCTATGACTGTGCCATTTATTTATTTCAAACAGCAGGCATTTCGAAGCCCTTGATTGCTGCCCTACAGAACTTGTGTTGTGTTCGGTTGAAAGATTATTTCCCATATGTTCGTCGCTTAAACACTCATCCCAATGGCCAGCCTGTACATATTTATGAATACTTATCCCCGTTAAACTTCGTTTACGTTCGGGCCGCTGTATGACGGACCTCAAACGCAAACCAAAAATGATACCAGGAATTCGGTATCGACATTCTAATGCCGTCATATTTAAGCCCTCCTGTTGCATCCACCCCCTCGTGAAGAACTCCCATTCTACCCACTTTAAAATTCCCCCTGCTACATCTACACCCGCTGTTCGAACATGCCCATCTGGTGCTTTTCTCTACTTTTATAGTTTATTCTCATTTCTCTAGAGGAAGAGTAATATAGAACGCACAACGCTGCCATAGTTGTACATGGCAATCTCATGCACTCTCAGTCAGGTTCGAAGAAGCGGCGTGCAACTTTACGTTGTGAGTAAGTGTAGTGAGATCACGGAAACCCCTCAGACAACCACAAATCAATAGTTCTTGCATGGTTCAGCAAATCCTCCAGTGTCTTATAATGACTATGATTTCCAAATAACCTTATTCCACGGCATGCATCGATTTCCCCTATTGCTTTACGATAGCTTAGGTATTCCTGTTAGTCTTTCCAAACTAGGAGAACTTGCCATATTGATTGCCAAGTATAAGTCAATTTATTGATGCAGCAATCATCCATGTAAGCTTTTTTAAATTTCAATGGGAACTGCTTTAAACTTGGTTAATTGCTTAATTAATGGGTCATTTGTGTTTTTGCAACTGAAGCAAAGATTAATAATCAGTAACCCCATTTCAAATTCTCTGCTACAGAATAAATAAGGTTATGGGTTCATTAAAACACGTCAAAATGCGTGGAAGAAGAGCCTTATTAATTTCCTGACTCATATAATAAATGCATATTAGTTGATTTTGCTCTATTATAAACGTGTCATGTTCGAAAAATGGCCTGGTATTCTTCAAGTTTTCCGAAAGACTACTAAGACTTAGTATGCAGGACAGGGTGATGTGCGACTGTGTATGAACAGGTAACGAATAGGACTAACCACTACACCTTCAACCATCTGGACGTGCTTTATCATCACCTTCATACCATTCGTTGGAATTTTATTTTGATAGTTAAATAACTCTTTAAACTCAATAAGCTCCTGTCATATTCCCAATTGTGATCTGATTTTATCCAGTTCTTTATTTTCTGAGAACAACTTAAATGTTCTTTTCTGTTTTCTTTTGTCCTTGACAGTCCGTCGAAAGCACCTGAAAGGAAGTAACAGGATAGTCGTGTCTTATATGCATGATCACTTTTTCTCAAGTGCCATTATTGATAAAGATTTCCATGCTGTGATTTCCTGTTTCTTTTAACGTGCAGAAGACAATGGTGGTTAAGATTACACATATTATCATGGTATCCATAAATCTGACAGCGAAATCTCCAACAAGAAGGGTCTAAAATGGCATCGTTATGTTTTCTGCAGACTGAGATGGAGAGAAGAAAGTATTCTTATTCTCCTTTATCTTTTTTACAACCTCTGTTCCTCTGCATCAGCCAACCATTTGCCTAAACGATTGGCGTTTCGAATAATACCTTTACAAATTTGAAGTATTTTTCCGCATCTTTTCAGCCAAAGCAATTACGGAAAATGAAGTTTTGTCTATCTGTATTGCTCCGTTTCCCTACTCGGTCTATCGCCAACAGAGTATTTAAACGATTCAACAGTGAAAAGAATTAGTCACCCCTCTTGAGACAAAAAATGGAATAAATGAAATAGATGATAGTTGTAGAGAGGGGGTTTAATCAGCTGAAGCATCATGGTGTTCTGAAGTATGTGATTCTGATTAACACTTAGTGTTGCTCAAAAAATTGCTTTAAATACATTAGCACTTTTTTCGTACAAACTGAAACTAGGAAAACTGCGCATAGATAAAAAAAATTGTAGAGAAGGTGATGATTTGCGAAAGTCTCCAAGAAGTTTACTAGGTAACTTAGAGTCGTACACAGCGAAAAGAAATTGGTGAATGAAGATGCCGGATCACTCTTAGAAAATACTCAGAGCCTACTTATTACTTATAAGTGGCCTTATTTGTGTGAAATTTGGTTTTATTCTGACCGAGATTTTACATTTACCTCGAAAGTTCACAAAATGCCTAAACACTTTGTGTCACTCTGAAATGCTTATTTTTATCACCCTTTAGGAGTTAAAATCCATTAATTTTAATTAAACAGGACAATTTAGTAGAGAAGGTGCTCTAACAATGTTGTAAAGCAAGGCATTTGGACGTTAAAAGGTTCAAGAAAATGTAGGATTATTGAAGTAACAACTAATTTGCGTGGGTGAAATAATGTTATATAATCCTTACAGATTGCACTAGGTCAGACAACTGCAAGAACAGAAAAGGTTCCGCATTTAAAACAATGAAACAACATCTACAATAACCTTGATTTTAAAACAAATAACAAACTGAATTTTGCAAAAGTGAATTGTTGATACGTTTTGTCTTGTTTTTTTTTAAATAAATATTCTAGTTAAGTGCATTGATGTTATTGTATGCATGGACGATAAAACTATGGCTCATTAAAGGTAAAACCTTCTTCCTATTCCTGAATTGAGTCTCACAGTAGCATACGAGAGAGGGAAGTAATAGCATTGGATGAGCAGAACACACTATGGTAGCCATAACAACGATTTACATACCGGATATATATCCATATTCGCATACGCCCCTAAGAAATTCTAGCAATATAGAATTACCACATAAATACTATTTTCTTGCATAAACTAACTTCATCACTCAGTCAAGTGCTTGTATAACTCATGGGTAAGTTTAGTAAAAGGAAGTAGGGTAGTTGGCTTTAACAGTGAGATTAGGGTTGATGCACTCATCGAAAATGGGAATTTAATACTACTAATTAATAGCCTATTAGAACAATAATACAAATAACGATATGATTGATATATATAAATAAAGGCATCTATAGTTATCTGAGCATTGAGACAAAGTGTTGGAAACAACTTAAATCCAATTTCCTACCTAACACCAAGAGAATATCGAGTGACATCGATAGATCTTAAGCAACTCATAGACTAGGACACAAGGCTATCATTAAATTAAAATCTCTAAATGCTCATTTAATCACAGCTCTTTCAAATAATGGCTTTGAGATGGGGGCAAATAAAATGATATTATTTGGTAATTAAAGCTTTCTAGTTAAGGACAACTCTACAAACCGTAGACTTCCCAATATGTTCAAGAATGAAATAAATACGAATATTTTAAATTATATTATTGATATGAAGGAAAGTTTAGCCAACTTTGATGCTTAACTTGTAGAAAGAATGAATCGTTTGAACTGATGCTAAGATTCCTTTGAAATAAACAGACAGTGTCTAATCATAACTCAAGATTAGTCCTATCTCAGTGCAAAATATACTAATCAACCACTTGTGTCAATTTAACATTGATTTACATTTGTATTAACATATATGTATTTATCGCACGCAAATTAAAGCATGAATGAGAAAAAGAACAAATAATGTAGTGTACACGGAGGGCAAATAGTTAGTAAAACTGAATTAGGATTGACTAAGTTGAAGAAATTGTATCATTAAAAATGTAGGTATATTTAACTTAGTCCTGTAAGTATTTCATGGAAAACATACACGAAATAAAAACGCATTATAATCCGCAACGACATACAATCAGCAATCAATGAGGACGATTCGAATCTGAATGGAAATGTGCACTACTGTGGACATTACATGCCCTGGTTAGATCGAACTCATATTTCCGATAACCGAGTGGTGTTCTGATGTCATTAAATTCGGCATTCTCTTCTTCAGTGATTTTGTAATTGTTTCGATATTCATTTCTGCTATAGAAGTTATCCGATCCATCTGGCGATGGAGAAGGCCTCGGCAAATACGAGTGGAAAGGAATTTCAATCACGCTAGAACGTTAAAAACGAGCATTAAAAGCTAAAGCGCAAACATGAATAAAGAACTACTTATATAATAAGAAATCGCACTCTGAATTTGCATCATTTGAGCTCAAGCTTATTGGGTCATTAATTGCGGTATCAGAAATTGGTTGAAACGGATTAAGATTATATTCTTGGTGGACATTAACAAAACTTGGCTCACTATAAACACCGACAAAAGGTGCAGAACGAATTGCAACATCAGGCGACTTGGCAACAAACGAGGCACCACACCGTTCCAATATAAGGCGTTGACGCATAGTCGAAAGCAGTTTTTTTGTTCGATATTTCACGAGAAGCAAATATCCGACAGTAAGAGAAAATATGAGAAAAGACAGGCAAATAGGAACAAATATATAGATGTAATTCATCCTAAAATGCACCAAATTAAATAATTTACTTCAAATTTTGGTATCAAATATGATTATAATGAACAGGGCACATAAAGCATTAACAAAATAACGTACTCAATCTATAACAGTTTCAGAAGTTAATTAATTGTAATTGCACGCATAAATAGCACGTTCTAAATTGATGCTAAACATATTGAAATGAATTCATTAAGGTTTTTTGAGCTTTTTAATATACTAGGTAAAATGTCTCGTTCTTAAGAAGAGTGTCATCAAATCGATTGAAAATGTAATTCAAAACTCGCGGTATTTAAAACTATCATTAAAGGCCATCTGCATGATATTATTTGACCCATTAAAACATTTGTTCTTACTTATTTTTAATGAAAGAAAATATTAATAGACTTTCGCAATAATTTTGCATTGTTATTATTAGTATCTTAGCGAATTTGTTCGACAAATAGAAACCTAAATTGAAAGCTACTTTATGTAACAAAACATCATTCCCAAAATTATGCACAATCTAAATTTTAAATTAAGATAACTGCTTAAATTGCATTCTTCAGAGATCATTTATTTAGGTTTTGAAGTAACACGCATTTACATCTTATATTTTAAAATCAATTTGACTTAATTTCAATTATTTAATAAGTTGGACTAATTATTGCATTAAAATTCTTAATCAATGTGTATGTGTTATATAGATGATCAGTTATTTATTTGTTTTTTTATTATTAATTGCTATTGAAAAGCATTCGTATGAGCTAAAACTGTGCCTTAAACCACCAAATATAAATATGCATATATTATAAAAATATTTATTTTAATTTTATGTGTTCTATTTTAGCCCTTCGTATTTGACAAAAGTTTACAATCCGATGATTGGTAAGGATACCTTTTTTGCAGAGTAATTTGCTGTTTATTTTTGAATTATTCACCCATTTCTTCTTTAATTCTTAAAGTTTATTAAGCGCATACTAATGTAAGTTGGTACTCCACCTCAAAATAGTTTGATTTTATCTTCTTTCGCACCAGTCTGCCAACATATGGTCTGTTCTCCCTAAGTAGACAGAAATCTACCCTCTCCTTCCCCATCATTCCTTTCAATTTTGGTCAATTCACATTTGTCCTACCCACTCCCAAACCTTCTCTATTATACTTATAGTTATGAAAATTTTACAATGAAATATGAAAACTGATTCCATCGAAACTTAAGGAAGATTTATGTAGGTTGAGTGATTTTTAAGGCATTGTAATTATTTAGCATTAACAATAGGTAGCAGAAAATTAGATGCCCATAGTAATTAAATAAGCTACGAGAACAAATAGGTCAAGCTCACATACCATAGGAAATACTTGTCGTAATATTTTTTTGTTTGAAACATTGTCAATTATTTTGATTCCAGTGCAAGTTTCATAGGCTATCAAGGATGTTCAAAGCCATTTCATTCACCTTAGAACATTCTGAAATGCATGAGCATGCGTACAGAAACATTTCTCGAGTTTCTGCCACACAAGATAAATTTGAACATATCTAATGATAAAGCATGTGGAAAGTTTACAAAAGTATGCTATATACGTTTTCATCACTATACGTCGATATTGTCCAAGTGGCTTGATTAATTTCGTAAAAAAAGGATTGTTGCGGTTTGTTCATGGCTTATTAGCTTTGTGTACACATTCTTTATTGCTAAATCATTCATAACTAATCTTTGGATGTTTTCGTTATCTGTCCTAATACTCAAAGCATACCTCCCGATTAAATGTCCTTATTAATTTTGAAGAGTGGAATTTATATATACGAAGGGTAATTTGGGATGTCCTCCATTCAGGAAGGGAGCATTTGCCTGATAATATTAAAATCAACATACAAAACCAAGATGATAAATTTTCAATCTCCTGACCCTCTTCTGAATCAGATCTTTGTAGTCTATGTTGCAAGGTGGTCGATTTCACTCACAATTACGCTCTTCACCTCATGTCCATCTTACATACACCTTAGAACTTGTATCTCCTTTCATGCTAACTCTTGTTACCCTCAGGATATGCTGCAACACACTTGGTTAGTCTACGTTTCTAATAGTAAATACAGTTTCAAGTCAGGCCTATTGCCAAAACTGGGTGTAGATAATATGGAATTACCTAAGTACAGGTATATTTAAATTTTCAACACAGCCCATATCTGATCTATTAATTTTCAATCTTGTTTTAATATAAATTTGCTTTGGATTTGGTAGATAAAGTTTCTAATCTCCTAAACTGTTGAAATAATACTAAATATTTTCAATACTGTCAAAAAGATTTAGAAACTATTTTCTTCGTCGGGATGAGAATTTCGCATGAAACCTACTTTTGGCATCTTAACAATTAATCGAAGAAAAAATGCCTTCTATTCTGAGGTGAAGTGATCTTCATTTAAATGGGAAGTATTATTTCTGCTTGTTATATGCTAACAAACACCTCGAAGTCAAGCGAAATTCTGCATTCTCTCAGAATTAGTTGCAAACTTTCAAGCAAATTAACGTATACTTTTGGTATAATTCTTGCGAAAATGTTTACACTTGAGTTGGCAACGTGCAGAAGGATTGTTATTAGGAGCTGAGAAAATAATCCCCCAAATGTAAATTCCAGGCACTGTAAAGAATACATTTACATACAACACTTTTGGTAATAATGATCCCAAATTCAATACAAATAATAACTCTCAAACGTTATAAATGCCATGAATTTAACAATAATATTCATAAGGATTATTACAAAATCGTTTCAGTGAGTCTATTTTCACACTTTGTCCAAAATTTCTCCATTTTGAGTTAAGGAATCACCTTTCGGTGGATTCTGGCGCTGATGTGAGGATTTTTCATGATGGTGATGATGCTGTTGTCTTCTAAAGATCATCTGTTTAGTGAGACCACCACCTCTAGGTAGAGTAGCAGAATTGGATCCCAAAAGACTCTTTGGAATCAATGCAGCCTCCGAGCGAATACGTCTCACATGAGCTAATGGAATGTCCAGACCATAGACCATTTGAGCATCTGTAACGGCTAATAAACTTGCTGGTAAGGCAAATTCTGTCGATCCTAAAGCACTGGCCAATCGATCCGCATACATTGGCATTCCAATCGTTGTCAGGAAGTCTGTTAGGTTGTCTGTTTTAATGCCAATACAGTTGAGATAACGCTGTGTGCGAATGTCTTCATAGTTTGGAGTCTGAAACATAAATCAAGGGGTACATCAATGAATACTTTACCCCGAATGGTATTCAGTCGTAGGTATCCATTCCTCATAACATGTGCAAAAAATAAGTGGGCATAACCAGCAACACATTTCGACAAGAATAGCGGTTCCGTTTGCAATTCCAATACGTCTAGACTTCATTTATCATCATTCTTCTCCTGACCAACTCCTAGACAGGCAGATACACGACGTCTTAAAAAGTTAGCTTGCAAAAGGATTTGGTTATTGAATAAGCTTAAATTCAATAACTTTAAGTATTTGCATATGTATATAGTTGATTTTGAGACAAACCAATCACCTTATTTTTTCTTGTGTTCAGTTTTTACATTATTTAATTAAGGCAAATCATACTCGGCCCCGTTACTCATGGGGACGACAACCTGAGTATAATTGGTTCTCAGTAGTAATACTTTATCGCATGTACCTAACTGAGCAGCAGACATTGACAATATTTCAATGTCTGATTTCATTGTTTACTAAGTTTTTTTTATACGAACGGAACAAATTACTTTCTTTTTACCAATTTTCTAAAGATTAGGCATGACAGAAATGATACGTTCGCTCATTTGTGAACTCTAATGTGTTTTGACTCATAGGTAACATTATTTTCAAATAGTAGGCAATAGAAACTGTTATGTCAAATTGATTATTTCATATTTAATAAGAAAAAGGCACTTGTTTAGTTTCCACGATGCCATTTTTACACAACGAGGCCGTACACCAGTGGTTAGATGAAGTTTACACCTTTCCAATATAAGCATTTATGAAAAGGAACCAATTGAAATGAATTTACTGATGTGCATTTGAATTGGCTTATTTAATGCCATTCTACCCGACTCCCCTCCAATAGGGAAATAACTACGATTATTGGTTGTGAAAATATGTCCAGTGTGTTTTAAGCGCTATAAGCATCAAACTAAGCTCATTCTTGCTTCAATACGCAAAGTCGTTCCGTCAGTGGCTCTCTGACCTCAGCATTACTATTCCTAAAGAATAACCCGCCTGAACTTTCAACGCCGTCAATGAAAACGCTAAATTAGCATTTAGCTTACACGTATTATCGCTGATGACGTCATATTGTGGGTAATTTGCACTTTGTCCAAATTGCAGTGAATGTCTTGATATTGTCTAAGTGTATGTCATTGACTGAACTGATAAGGAAGAAGGTCAGTCTCATTACTCTATTTCTTTAAATAATGTGTGATGACAATGGTAACCGGCACGTCTGCAATGTATTTGGTCCGTTCTGTATGGAAAAATGGTGTTACTACCAGATAATATACGTAAGCGATGGATTACTGAATTTCAGACTTCGTGATCAGACCTCCTCTAAGACATCAATACTAATGACTGAACTGGGGGTGTGCGATTGACTTACCTCCACGTGGTGCACCCTGGGCAATGTATACTCATACGGCAAAAAAGTCTATTTACCGTCAGTTTACTTCTCACTTCAAACTATCATCACCTCACTCTATGCCATATTCGACTATTCACAGTACTCACCTCACCTTTTTTCGACCTTTGTGTTTGTCACTTACGTCTTTGAAACACTCTCGACTTTTTTCAATTTGATGTCCCTTCCCCTCTGTGAAGCCTGAAGTCGACTAAAGGGCTAATGATAACCATCAAGACGCCTGTCATTTGATATAAATAAATGACTGAACTGAGAAAGAACTACTTTTAAACACTCAATGAACTTATCAACTACCTTTAATTTCTCTGCGAAGTTCAAAATTCTAATTGCGGGTTTTGTGCATTAAGCCGAAATTGGCAACCACAATCTACTTTATCGAATTATCTTTTCATTATGATTTGTTTATACGTCGTTCCTCTTAACAATAGGTATTTGATTCTTTAAACAAGTAATTAAATCTTAAGGCGAATCCTAAATTTGCGTTTATTTTCAAGACTTCTCGAGATTATAATGTTAAGAAAAATTCCTTCATTTTGATAACAGATATGCCAGTGAACGAACGTTGGTACCAGCTACTTTTCTGCCATCTTCTTTGGTGAATAGATAAACGAGTTGGGTTNGCTAATGAATTGCTATTAATTAATTACTATGTATGCACCCCCACCCTTGGGGGAAGCTGAAGTCAA